TTTTTAAGACCATATAAACAATAACTACTAGTTACTAAACAGTACTAAGTGCTATATTTTCCTATTTAATATATTTAATTATTCCAACAAGCCAATAACATACTATCAACTCTATTTTTTTTTTAAGTAAACTCCACACCACACATGAGGCTTGAATTCAAGACCCCCAAGATCAAGAGTCACTTACTCTACCGAATGAGGCAGACAGGCACCCCTTATTAACTTTATTGGATAGATGAGGAAACTACAGCCCAGAAAGCCTCCATGCTATCCTGCCCCTCCAAAATGAAAAGTATTTATGCATAATACAAGTTAACAATAATTAGAAACTTGGAAACAAATGTAAACATTGTCACCAAATCTAAATTAAAAGACTACTACAAAGTAATTCTATTAGAAGGGAAAAGAGAAAAAGAAGTTATGATAATAGGAAAGGAATTACCGCTAAGGACAGTTTTAAAGATATCAACTGTCCCCAAATCAGAATTAATGTAGACCATACCTGCCAGCTAACAAAGAAGGAACAAGGTCTCTCCCATATGTTCAGAAACACAAATACTGTAGAAAAGAAATCTCTGGGAGATCTGGGTGGTTCAGTTGGTTGGCGTCAGACTCATGATTTTGGCTCAGGTCATGATCTCACGGTTCGTAAGATCGAGCCCCTCATTGGGCTCTGTGCTGACAGTATGCAGCCTTGCTTGGGAGTCTCTCTTTCTCTCCTTCCCCTGCTTGCACACGGTCTCTCTCTCTCAAACAAACAGGAGCGCCTGGGTGGCTCAGTTGGTTAAGTGTCTGATTCTTGGTTTAGGATCAAGTCATGATCTCACAGTTCGTGGGTTCAAGCCCCACATCAGGCTTTGTGCTGATAGCCCGGAGCCTGCTTGGGATTCTGTCTCCCTCTCCCTCTGACCCTCCCCTGCTCGCTCTCTCTCAAAAATAAATAAACATTTAAAAAAATTTTTTAATAAAATAAAAATAAATAAAAAAAGAGAGAGAAATCTCTTTAGCATTGAGGCCACAAGCTGACACCTTTGAGTATATCTAGCAAGACCAAGTCATTAAAAAACCAAAAAAGAGTAAAATAAAAGAAAGAGAAAAATGAAGAGGAGGAACGGAAGTATAAAAGGTAGTCCCTTTTTTTCATTAAGGTAGTACCACAGGCATTGCCTGCATCTGAAAAAAAACATTGTGATCACTGGTACAGTAATGTGCTCAGCAGAATACATTTCTTAAATGTACCTGGAATAGATTCTCTGATATGATGAACTAACTCCACATAAGCTTCTCTTGAATATCTGCAAGAAGGAACAAAAAGAAAAGGCTTAGATGAACCAATCTTCTTTAAATGAATGCTGTAAAAAGAGAACATTATGCATTACCACATATAATCACTTCTTATCCACATAGGACAGTACAAGCGTAGGTTAAAGTATCCAGAACAGTCCTTTTGATGCTAATCCTGCAGTGTAACCTAATCTAGAGCCCATGAGTCTTTAGTTCAAGAACATACATTAAATAGCCTTTTTAAAAATATAAATAAATAGCCTTTTATTTTTAAGGTTTATTTATTTTTGAGAGAGAAAGAGAGCGCACACGCGTGAGCAGGGGAGGGGCAGAGAGGAAGACACAGAATTTGAAACAGGCTCCAGGCTCTGAGCTGTCAGCATAGAGCCTGAAGTGGGGCTTGAACCCACAAAACGTGAGATCATGACCTGAGCTGAAATTGGACACTTCACTGAGTGAGCCACCTGGGCGCCCCAATAGCCTTTGATTTAATAAGTGAAGACAGATTAAATATTTAAGAGGATCTCTAGGGGCACCTGGGTGGCTCAGTTGGTTAAGTGTCTGATTCTTGGTTTGGGCTCAGATCATGATCTCATAGTTCATGATATCAAGCCCTGTGTGGGGCTCTGCACTAACAGCATGGAGCCGGGAGCCTGCTTGGGATATTCTCTCTCTCTCTCTGTCTCTCTCTCTCTCCCCTTTTGTCCATCCCATGCCCGAGCGCACGCACTCACTCTCTCAAAATAAATAAACTTTAAAAAAAAAAAAAAGGATCTCTAAAACTGCCAATGTGGAAAACAAGGCAAAGCACTAGTTCCACACAGCCTGCCATTTGTCACCTTATCCTTTCAGTCTTATCTCTACCGCGTATTAGTCCCAAAGTAAGTGAACCAAAGACACGTTTAAATTCTAACACTTAAAAAAACTTTTTTTAAGTTTATTTATTTATTTTGAGAGAGAGAGCGAACACGTAAGTGGGGAAGGAGCAGAGAGAGACGAAGAGAAAGAATCCCAAGCAGGCTCCAACCACCAGTGCAGACCCTGATGGGGTGCTCAAACTCATGAACCGTGAGATCATGACCTGAGCCTAAGTCAGAAGCTTAAATGACTGAGCCACCCAGGCATCCCTGGCCTAAAAAACTTTAATGTTAAAAGCTAAAGGATTAATATTTCAAAGAGTGTGCCACACAGTAAATACTTAATAAAAAACATGCTAAACAAATGAAATGAGTGATCCAGTCCTTAGTCTATATTTAGGGAGTAAATAGAAACAGGTTATAATGTCCATGGGTTTATTCACATAACAAATATTGACTGAGCAGCTACTATGTGCTATACACTATGCTGGTTCTTAGACACTCTGTGGTCCTTAAGAAAACATGGAAAGGTGCAGGATGCTCCCTCCCCCAAGCAAGTCTGACCCCCTCCGCATGGCCTCCAATACACGGCTGCTTCCACTCTGGGCTGGTAGGTGGATCTGTTTACAGATGTTGTCTCTCTCATGAATCAGCTGCAGAACCTGATCAAACAGAACACATTAAAGGTCATCACAGTCTCACCAAAGAATCCTGCATAAAGGAATACCACCCCCACTGTTTCTTAATAGGCTTTTTTTTTTTTAAGAACTTTAATGCTTTTTTTTTTTTTTAACATTTAGTTATTTTTGAGGGAGAAAGAGACAAAGTGTGAGCAGTGGCGGGGCCAAGAGAGACAGAGACACAGAACCCAAAGCAGACTCCAGGCTCTGAGCAGTCAGCACAGAGCCCAACGTGGGGCTCAAACTCACGAACCGTGAGATCATGACACGAGCTGAAGTCAGATGGTCAACCGACTAAGCCACCCAGGTGCCCCTCTTAACAGGCTGATTAAACCAAACACATGAATTACCCAAATCCTTTACTTGTGCTCAAACCATGTTGTCTGTCCCAGACATTTCCCCTGATGGCATCTCCGCTTTGAAAAAGTGAAGCAAGCAAGCAGAGGTCAGATTCAAGCCATGGGCTGACATGGACAAAAAGGAAAACTGGTATTTGTTTCATCTAACTTCCAAACTAATTAGCTACTTTAAAAGACACCATCAAGAAACTGGAACAAGGAAAAAATATTTGAAAAAATACACTGACAAAGGATTTGTACCAAGAATACATAAAAAAAGTTTTACAACTCAGTAAGAAGACAATCCAGTGAGAAAAAAGTAGCAGTGGGGCAAAAAGACAGATGTTTCACCAAATCAAAAATACTTTAAGGGGCGCCGCTGGGTGGCTCAGTCAGTCGGGCGTCTGACTCTGGCTCAGGTCATGAACTCGTGGTTCGTGAGTTCGAGCCCTGCATCGGGCTCTGTGCTGACAGCTGAGAGCCTGGAGCCTATTTCGGATTCTGTGTCTCCCTCTCTCTCTGCCCCTCCCCGACTTGTGCTCTATCTCTCTGTATCTCAAAAATAAATAAACATTATTTTTTAAAAAAAAGTTTTTTAATTTTTTAAAAACTTTAAAAAAAGGTTTCACATGTAGGCTATACATTCTATGCTTTACTAAAGCACTTGGTAAATACCTTCCATACAATATACCTATTTCTCAACCCCCCCAAAAAGCAGGAGGTTATTATTAACCTCATTTTACAGATGAAGAGGACAAGATGAAACAGTCATACCTACTAATAAAGCAAGGGAAGAGCTAGGATTTAACTCACGTCTTGTCTCAGGCCAAAGTCTGGACTGTTTCCCACTGCAACATATCGCCTCCCTTTCTGTCCTTCCCATAAAATCTTGTAATAAAACCTCTCTCCGCAGAGTCCTCATGGTCCCAGGTGACCTTAACTTCCCAGAATATCAGTCCTATCTCTATACTTGCGGTGAGCACAGCATAACGTAAAACTTGCCAAAATCACTATGTTGTACACCTGAAACTATACATCATATACATATAGTGTGTCAACTATACATCAATCCCAAAAAAAAATAAAATTTTTTTTAAATATATCAGTCCTATCTCTGCCCCAACACTGGTGGACTTTAACTGTGGTGGAATCAAAGGGCAATACACCACAAGATCCCCTGAGCAAGATTCAAGGACTGCTATATCCCACTGGGTCCAGCCTTGGCAAGCTTACACATACTGATAACAGCTTGGCACGGTTCACTGTTGATACTCACCTCATCAGGAAAGTCTTTGGGGTGGGGAGAAGTGAAACGGATCCTCATTTCAGGATCTACTCTGGAGACGTGATCCAGAAGGTGAGCAAAACGAAGGCCTCCTTGCTTGGGTTTACAGTTGGTGGAGAAGCCACGGCTGAGGTTGGTAGACACTGCATTGTTGAACTGGACCTCTGAACTGTCCCGAAAACTATTAACATTCTGACCAAGGAGTGTCACTTCTTTCAGCCCCTGAGAAAGGGAAAGTGAATATATTGGAAGCAATTTAAAACTTTTTTGGTAGTTTCATGCAAATCACTAATTGATATTAGTTCAACCCACCTAGAGCCATTCATAAATGTACTCTAGTCTGTATTTTAACCCAGTAATTTCGTATTTGGGCATCTTGTCTGAAGAACTGAACTTCAGAATAACACTTTACAAGAGCACCTGGGTGGTTCAATCAGTTAAGCATCCAACAACGGCTCAGGTCATGATCTCATGGTTCGTGGGCTCGAGACTTGCGTCAGGCTCTGTGCTGACAGCTCAGAGCCTGAAGCCTATTTCGGATTCTGTGTCTCCCTCTCTCTCTGCCCCTCCCCTGCTTGCACTGTCTCTCTCTCTCTCTCAAAAATAAACCTTAAAAGAACTTTTTAATTTTTAGAAAAATAAAATCTTACATAAAAATTAATCTCCAAAGCATTTTTCAGAATAGCAAAAACCTGGATGAAATTCAATGTTCAGTAATAATGGTTAATCTATAGCACTATAAATCAAATTATGACACCATTCTGCCAGTTGAATATTATATAATCACTGCCCATAATGTATTCTTCCCAAAGTATTTAGTCTAAATTGAATTAAGCTTTTACATTTAACTTCCAGTTTATCAGAATTCAGAGGAATATTTTAAATGACAACATTAAGAAGCAATCAGACAAATCCAGATGTATCTGATCTCTTCAAAAACTTAATGTATCATTTGAAGCAAACAAAAAAAAATGAAATTAAGAGAGAATGAAAAAATATAAAAAACAACAAATAAAACCACAAAGTCTGACTGGATCTTAGTTTGAAAATAAAAAAGCAGTAAGATATTCTTGGGGTGCCTGGATGGCTCAGTAGATTAAGCATCCAACTCTTGATTTTGGCTCAGGTCATGATCTCAAGGTTATGAGATTAAGCCCCATGTATGGCTCCACACTGGAGCCTGCTTAAGACTCTCTCTCCCTCCCTCTACCACTCATACTCTCTAAAAATAAATACATACATACATACATATTTTTGGACAATTAAGAAATTTTGAGGGGCATCTGGTTGGCTGAGTTTTTTTTTTTTAATTTTTTTTTTATGTTTATTTATTTTTGAGACAGAGACAGAGCATGAATGGGGGAGGGTCAGAGAGAGGGAGACACAGAATCTGAAACAGGCTCCAGGCTCTGAGCTGGCAGCACAGAGCCCGATGCGGAGCTCAAACTCATGGACCGTGAGATCATGACCTGAGCCAAAGTCGGACGCTTAACCGACTGAGCCACCCAGGCGCCCCTGGCTGGCTGAGTTATAAGAGCATGTGACTCTTGATCTCAGGATCGTGAGTTCAAGCCCCACATTAGGTGAAGAGATTACTTAAAAATAAACAAATAAACTTTAAAAAAGAGAAATTCTGAATATGAGTTACATATCATATAATATTAGTTGTTCAATTTTCTACATGTAATAATGGTATTATGAATGGAAAAACTCTTATTCTGAGAAGATGCATACTGAAATATACACGGTTAAGAAGCCTGATATCTACAACTCAGCCTTGAAATGTTTCAAAAAACATATATTTATGCATATATAAAGACAGGAAGATAAAGCAAATATGACAAGTTTATTAACTGTACTTACTGTACTAGACTTTCAAATTATCTGTTTGAACACTTGCATTATAAAACTTCACTAAGGAAAAAAAAGTTGCTATAAATAGACTATTTTTTTAACTTTATTTTGATGAAATTTCAAACTTACAGAAAAATTACAAGAATAGTAAAAAGAACTCCCATATACTCTTTGCCCAGGTTCACGGTTAACACTGCACACCATCTGCTTATCATTCACATGCTCACACTCAGATACACCCTCTCTCTGCACATACACATGCAAGCACATATTTTTCTGAGCCTTCTGAGAACAAGTTACAAACAACATGCTCTTTTGCCCCTAAATATCCACATACTATAAATCAAATTTTTAACAACGGTCCAAATAATGTCCTTTGTAACTTTTCTTAATTTGGTTTAACAATGGCATGACTAAGGGAGTGCCTTAATATTAGAGGTGACTAAACAATAATATTATATATTAATATTATATATTAATACTATATATTACATATTATGTTATATTGTTATATATTATGCACATA